GTGTGTGTGGGTGTGTGTGTGTGTACAGGGTAGGAAGGAAATACAGAGAACTGAGAACAGGAGCTTTGCAGTGTCCTCCTCACCCATTCTGCCTTGTGCTGGTCTCCCAGTGAGGAGTAATACCACCTTCACACCAGGTGTTCACAGCACCGGCTCACATGTCCCACGTGCTGCACAACTGCCCCCCTGCCTGCCCTGAGGCAGGTACTGTGGTACCTGCATGTGATGGGTGAAGGGAAGGCTCAGTCGGTTGGGCACCCATGCTGCATGGTCCACAGCCAGCAGGGCTCAGGTTTAAGCCTGTTTCCGTCACTTCAGAGCTGGGCTTGCGCCTACTCTGGTGCACCTGGCTGTCCTCTAGCCGTGGGCTTCTGGGGCCCACATAGGGGAGACTGGCTGGGAGCATAGGTGCTGGGGAGACAGAAGGAGACCATGCAAGAAGCCGTCTGGGGAAAAACTGGACACATTTCTGTGTCAGAGATGTCTCCAAACAAAGGCAATTCCATTTAAAAGTGGTCTGAAGTTTTCTACTTTGGTACAGTGAGTAATCCTTTCTCTCTGTAATACACTCTTCCACCTCCCAGCTCTGTGGTTTCTTTTAAAAATCTGGGTTGTCCCAATTTTGTTTAAAGCAGGATATGCCTAGAGGCTGACAGCCTGAAGGGCAGATGGCCCCGGATTGATGGTGCTAATAATAGTAGTAATGAAAACTGGAAGGTAGGAGCTGGTGTAAGGCACCAAGCAGGAACTCATATCATTTCTTAAATCCTCCGTGCATTCCTACAAAGATACGCATTTCACAAAAAGAAAAATGAGGTTTTGGGAGGCCAAAAGAGGGCACTCAGCATCTCCCAGCTAGTTAGTGAGGAGGATTTCTCCCGGGCCCGTGCTGTGAGCTGCCATACGTCTCAACCGTCTCCTAGTCCATAGACATTCATTCGTTCGAATTCCCCACATCACACCTCCCCACCTCGTCCTGTGCTTCCCTAAATGGGACCATCAGCCTTCTCCTGCTCATCTTCAACTCCTGCTGTCTTCAAGAGAGCAGGAAAAGTGGAGGCCCCTGATAGAAGAGTTATACATAAAAGGGTAAACTGTAAGGTCAGGGCTGTTCTCCAGGGGGCCTGAGGGCTGGGGTGGGGGAAGATGAGGTCAGTGAAGGGGATGAGCCCAAGCAGGGCTGCTGTGTATGGTTTGCAGGTTGTGCACTGCACAAGGGTTTCCCATCTGAGGAGGTGCCTCTTGTTTCGTAGATGTGGTAATACATAGGTGAGTGGATCTTCTATAGTTTTCTGGTGATTCTGGCGTGAAGTGTCTTTTTTTTTAATGGAATCAGTCTATTACAACAATTTTCTTACGGATGTAAAAAGATGTCTTATGAAAGAAATATCTTCTCCTCATTTGCCCAAAGCCCAGAGCTTTGGCTCTGGCCAGGCATGGCATGCTGAATTCTTTGAAAGCAGGCCTCAAGTTTGTCATCAGCTAGGTGCCCACAGGCCCTTTTAAAGCTCCAGGTGGAGCATCTCCCTAAGTGAGCTGATCTGGTGGGTGCCAGGCACTGTTCTGCCCTTGTGGTTACATGTAGATCAATGGCTCTGGGGGGATTAACACTTTTTTTTAAACAATTTTTTAAAATTAAGGTATCATTGATATACACTCTTATGAAGGTTTCACATGAAAAACAATGTGGTTACTACATTCACCCATATTATCGAGTCCCCTCCCCATGCCCCATTGCAGTCACTGCCCATCAGTGTGATAAGATGCCACAGAGTCACTACTTGTCTTCGTGCTACACTCTCTTCCCCATGATCCCCTCAACACCATGTGCACTAATCATAATGCCCCTCGATCCCCTTCTTCCTCCCTACCTGCCCTCCCACACCCCTACCTACTTGCCCTCCCTCCCCCACCCCTCTCCTTTGGTAACGATTAGTCCCTTCTTGGAGTTTGTGAGTCTGCTGCTGTTTTGTTCCTTCAGTTTTGCTTCATTGTTATACTCCACAAATGAGGGAAATCATTAGGCACTTGTCTTTCTCTGCCTGGCTTATTTCACTGAGCATAATGTCCTTCAGCTCCATCCATGTTGTTGCAAATGGTAGGATTTGTTTATTTCTTATGGCTGAATAGTATTCCATTGTGTATATGTACCACATCTTCTTTATCCATTCTACTGATGGACACTTAGGTTGCTTCCATATCTTCGCTATTGTAAATAGTGCTGCAATAAACATAGGGGTGCAGACTTCTTTTTGAATCTGAGAACTTGTATTCTTTGAGTAAATTCCTAGAAGTGGAATTACTATGTCAAATAGTATTTCAATTTTTAATTTTTTGAGGAACCTCCATATTGCTTTCCACAATGGTTGAACTATTTTATATTCCCACCAGCAGTGTAGGAGGGTTCCCCTTTCTCTGCATCCTCACCAGCATGTGTTGTTCTTAGTCTTTTAGATGCTGGCCATCCTAACTGATGTGAGGTGATATCTTATTGTGGTTTTAATTTGCATTTCTGTGATAATTAGTGATGTGGAGCATCTTTTCATGTATCTGTTGGCCATCTGAATTTCTTCTTTGGAGAACTGTCTCTTCATATCCTCCGCCCATTTTTTAATCGGGTTATTTGCTTTTTGGGTGTTGAGGCATGTGAGTTCTTTATATATTTTGGATGTTAACCCCTTGTCAGATCTGTCATTTACACATATATTATCCCATATTGTAGGGTGCCTTTTTGTTCTGATGATGGTGTCCTTTGCTGTACAGAAGCTTTTTAGTTTGATGTAGTCCATTTGTTCATTTTTGTTTTTGTTTCTCTTGCCCAAGGAGATGCGTTCAGGAAAAAGTTTCTCATGTTTATATTCAAGAGATTTTTGCGTATGTTTTCTTCTAAGAGTTTTATGGTTTCATGACTTACATTCAGGTCTTTGATCCATTTCCAGTATACTTTTGTGTATGGGGTTAGACAACAGGGATTAACACCTTTAAGATCCCTGAGGTCATTTTCGACATCTCCTGGTCTCACCTGATGCACATTATGCCTTCCCAGCTGTCCTGAGTTGCTTAGGGATTTCTTGTGCCCTCTCGGGGCCTGTCCACGACAGGGGGATGGCTGCTGTTTTGGTCCCGGGGTGTCCAGGCTTAGTGACAGAGGCAGGATGGTATGAAGTGAGTAGCCTCAAGCTGTTTCCCTCCTCTGAACCTCCGTTTCCTCTCATCTAAAGTTGGTGGTCCAAGTGATTTCTTGGTCCTCTCCGGCTCTAAAGTTTATTTGTTCACCATTAGGGCTTGGGACTGAGTGGTGAAGAAGATGGACCTACTCTGACCTCGTGGTGTTTCCTCTCTGACTGGCTAGACACCCAGGCAAACAGGGGATGATGCTTTGCTGGGGGGCATATCAGGTTCCTCTTGCTGCTGTAGCATTTTACCACCAACATTGTGGCTTAAAACAACACAAACTTATTTTCTTACCGTCCCGGAAGTCAGAAGTCTCCCGGGGCTAAGATGAAGGTGTCAGCAGAGCTGCACTCCTTTCTGGAGGCTCCAGGGGAGAGTCTGTTTCTAGTTTTTAGGGGGCTCATGGTCCCTTTTCTTCTTCAAAGCCAGCAAAGCAGATGAGCCCATGCAGTAGTGTATGTGTGGGATACTCTAAACACACTTAAAATAATGATGGTGAAAATGTTATTTAATCTGTGGTTAAAACTAACAGCTAAATACAATAGTACCAGTAACAACAGGGTGTGCATGGTCGGCGGCTGGAGTGAAGTGCTGTACAATCCTTACATTGCTCAGGAGGACGGTAAAGATATCGACTTGAGTATTTTTTAAGTCATGGGAAGTTTCAAGCATTACAAAAGCAGGGT